CATCCATCCATCCATCCATCCATCCATCCATCCATCCATCCATCCATTTTCTTCTGCTTGGCCTGGAGTTGGGTCGTGGGGGCAGCATCTTGAGCAGGAAGGCCCAAAGATTGAATCCTGAGGTCACTGCACTGAACTGGACTCCCTTCGATCTCTGGCTGCACTGAATTCTGTCTACAGAAGTTATGAACAGAATATGTGACAACGGGCAGCACCGGTGGACTCCAACGCCTACCCTGAAGGGGTCCGGCTTACAGCCGTCATGTGAACCAAACTTTTGCACTGCTTGTCTTCTTCTTCTGGCTTTCGTTGTTTCAGGGGTCACCACAGCAACTCATCCCCATCCAGTGCTTTTACATCCAAACTAAAAGTTATTGAGGCCAATTCAATGAAATGTACCTGTTTCAACAGCTTGTTTTATAGTACCTGTGTGTGTGTGGTTTTTTTTTAATAGCTGAACATTTTATTTTAACTGTAATTTTTTTGTGTTGTATTTGTTGCTGCCTCTTGGCCAGGTCTCCCTTGAAAAATAGGTTTTTAATCTCAAATTTTATTATTATTTTTTTTTAAATCCTGGTAAAATAAATGTAAAATTAAAAAAAAAAATTAAAAAATCCTCCACCACATCACTCTGTCCTCTGCACACTCTGCTCTCACTTCCATATATTTCCTCTTTGGCCTTCTGCTTCGTCTCCTATTTGCATTTCTAACGTGCTTCTGCCAAATCCAAGAAAGACCTGTGCTGCACCTCTGATGGTCTCATTCCTAAGCTTATTCGTCCTTATCACTGCCAAAGAAAACCTCAACGTCTTCAGCTCTGTCACTCCCAGTTCTTTCTCCATTCCTGTCAATGCCACTGTCTCCAAACCATACAACATAGCTGAGCTCACTCTCTTCTTCCCCATTTTCCTGGACAGTCCACCCTAAGGATTTGAAGTCCTTCACCTTTGTGCTTTTACAGGGACTGAATGGCCTGTAGCAACAGACCCACAATCCCATACTCATGAAACACTTCACCTAGTGTACTTCGAGAAACATGGTTGAATGCCTTCTTCAAGTCCACAAAAAGCGTATAGACTGGTGAGACAACTTCCACGCATCCTCGTGCACCCTGGTGATAGTTTGCATCTTATCTTTTGATGTACTAATGCAGTTTTGTGAATATAAGCTGAAGCTTAAACTTAAAAAGGCCTAAACATAGAGCTTGTATTTAATAATTTCACATCGGTGTTGGAAGTTTGGGACACTTCTACACAATCAGAAATTGGCCACTAGATGGCAGTGTGCTCTTTTCTTTCATCCCATTATGGTTTAGAACTGTTCAATTGGACTGTTTGTCTTGACAACAACTAGGCTACTTAATTTAATTTAATTTAATTTACTGACTAATATCTATATGAACAACATAATATCAGACCCTGCAAATAAATATTTTTTTTGGATGACACATTTAAATAAACCTCTAGTGCACAAAAGTAAATATAAATAAAATTGAAATAGAGCTTATTACTTGGAATGAAGTCAAAAAATGGCACAAAATGATTTTACATTCAAACAGAAAATTATACATTTGGGTTCAGTTTGTGTTGATGGTAAGTAATACTTGATTTTTGTTCTTCCACCTTCACATCTTTGATTTAATGTGCTCCAGTGTCCCTGGGGTCTGGCTTATGTTAAGTGGGAAGTGGGCCTGTAATCACATAAAGGAAATGCCACATTAAGGCTTCAAAGAAGTTGATTTCATGTCCATTTTCAAAAAGAGTGAACCATGCAGAAGCTTTCAAACAAGATCTGCTCCAAGAAGAGGAAAAACAAAACAAAACAAAAAAAAAAAATCATTATTTCAGTTTTTGGTGTATTTTTCCTGCACATTTTGCAAGACCTGGTTAAAAATTCTGAGTATAGTCAAATCTATTTAATTTGGTTTTGAAGGATAAATGGCACAATGATCTCCAAAATAAGCTATTCATTCGTTTTAATATTTGCTGCATCATTTATCTGGTTCCAAATCTACATTTCTAGTTATACCACTGTTTATTTTAGACATGGAGAAAATGCTTGAGGATACCTGGAGCTAAAAAGCCAAGAGTGATAATATATATATATATATATATGTATCTGAATTGGGGAAAGATGTAATTCGTCCAAGGAAAAATGAAGTTTGAGACGTCTAAATCTCTGATTGTTCATAGGAAGAAATCCCTTTTGATCATATGGGACGTTTTCTTTCTTTCTTCTTGTTTTAACTAATAAGAATTGATTTGTGAAAATCTGTTCTACATATCCAGTCTAGGTTTGAAATGTTCTAACAATCTTAAACCAAGGAAAGATTAGATTTCCAAATATGCACAAGTCATTATATGTTACAACGGCTTGCCTTACAGCATGTTATCAGCGTTGTCATAAGGCCGCGACAGAAACATGAAACCATTTTTAGTTTTGGTGAATAGTACAGTATCTTTTCTGTTTCTTAGTGTGGATTTTCTGAATCAGAGCATCTTATTGTGGGGCCACAAGACAACATCACACTGACAAATAAATAAAAGTAACAAAATGTTCATTGGTTCAACATCAGGAAGTACAGTTCTAAAATACAGTGAATGCCAGGATTATAGGACTGGTAGTGTACACAGTCATGTTATTTCCTTACAAAGCCCAAACAAAAATTAGAAGATGAGCTGAGTTAAATGGCGTCGACGGTAAATAATGTTCCAAAACATACACTACGTGTAAGAGGCTGGGAAAACAAAATTGGCTTGGACATAACTTGTTTTTTATTTTTATTTGATTATTATTATAATTCATTTTTACGAGTTTTAAATGTGTGCTGTTCCATTGAACGTGTTCTCACGTAACCGGGTGTTGCATTTAGGGTAACTCGGAAAACCACCAACATTTTCGTTTTATTTCGTACAAATGTCTACTGGAGTCTATTTAATTTTGCTTAAACAGTTAAGTTGTCACTTGATAGAATTAAGAATATTTTTAAACATCATATTTACTCTTTAAATGTATTCCTTTTTTTGCTAGCAATCCAGACAACGCTAAATAGCTCTTTAGTAAATAAATCCACACTTTATGTGGTTATAGCATGATATATTGCTATTTATAATATATTTTCATATATTTTTAACGAGTACAACGTAGGAGAGAATTGTTAAGATAAAAAAAACAACAAAATTAGCTGAGTTAGTATTGATTTTAATTTTTTTCTCGCAGTCTTCAAACGCTACACACGTGTGTACTGACGTCAGACCTACGTAATCGACCGTTACATCACCCAGATGCCGGTTTATGACTTCCTTTAAATGTGTGCAAGCTAGCTCTGAAAACTTACAGAACTCACGAAAGTCAGCGGATAATTTCTTTACGAAGGCCTGAAACAGCAACACGGGTAAGAATTTAACAACGCTACGTGACGACATTTAATTTTAGCCGCTGATAAAAACTAACCGATCAAATGTTGTCGATGATTTTAACTTTTTCTTATTGTCTGTGCGTTATTTGACCTCGAGACAGCAGCATTTGCTTCGTTCTAAAAACCAGGAGATATCTTTAAACGATAGCTGCCGTGTTTTTAGCAGGTTATAGAAGTGGTTATTTCACGAAGGCCTTAAATAAAGAGAGCATGCTCGTGTGTCACCTTCGTCCATGTCCTGAGTACAGTACACCTTTATGAAGCTAGTTTTTATGATAATTGTTATTAATGACAAGATTCCTAACGCAGTTTGTTTACAAGATGACGTTGTATAACTAAATGAGCCAAATAACCAGAGCAACTCCTAATAGTTGTCCTTGTTTGACCTTGTTTTTTAGTCCATATGGCTTCTTATGATGAACATAATGACTCTAAACTGGTTCGGAAAATAAAGGAGAACCCATTTGTCCCATTTGGTAAGTACATTGTGCGCCTCACTGCTAACAAAGCTACTATATTAAGCATATAAAAAGTTCAGTGATTGTACTGATTTTACTAATTTTAGCTATTTGATCTGACTGATGGATTTTAATTATTAGTATATATTTTTTTGGTTCCAGGACTTGCTGGATGTGTTGCTATTGTTGGCCACCAACTGTACAAAATGAAGACTCGAGGTAATACAAAGATGTCTGTGCACTTGATCCACATGCGTGTGGCTGCACAGGGCTTTGTGGTTGGAGCCATGACAATTGGTAAGTATCATAAAACGTTGCTTTGTAAAAAAAAAAAAAATTCATTGCATCTATAATCGGAGTCAGTCAGAGTTTCTTTATTGTCATTCGCACCTCATGTGGTACATGTGGTGGAGCGAAAATATGTACACAGAGTCCCAGTTACATCCAACAATAAAATGTAAAAGAAAAACTGTAATAACATCTAAGATATGAACTAAGAAAAACATCAACTAAATATACACTAAGCACTCATAACATAAAAGCATTACGTCAAACAGCAGCACGAACATGAGTCTGTGTGAGCAGCTGAGCACGCATGAACACATCAACATTAAAACAGATCAGCAGCAACATGAAACAGATCAGCAGCAACATGATGTGATTTTTTTTTTTCACAGTGATTATTCTGGTTAGAGATCCATGAGTCTAACAGCCTCGGGGTAGAAGCTGTTCCTCAGTCTAGTGGTTCTACACTTAATGCTCCTCAACCTCCTTCCTGAGGGGAGTGGGGCAAAAAGTGTGTGTGCTGGGTGAGTGGGGTCCTTCATGATGCAGGTGGCCCTCTTTCTGCATCTGGAGGTGTAGATGTCTGTTATGGTGGGGAGACTGACTCCGACAGATGTCTGTGCAGCCTTCACCACTCTCTGCAAAGCTTTTCTTTCTGCATCTATAATGCAGGTGTATTTCCATGTAGTTACATGTGGCATATAGGAAACCTCACTGACCCTTCCAGATTGTCAGTAATGTGATGGATACACAGAATTCAGAACATTGAAGCAACAGTGATGAAGGTCATACAGATGTTTGCTTCACTGTTGACAGCCCTGGTGGATTACTTTAAGCTTTGGCTCCCTGAGCCTGAGCCCCAGCAAAGATGCGACTGGTTAACTTCACATATCTTCAGCTGTGTGTATTTTAAGACTTTTCCCAGACTTTTAAAGCATGCGGCAGTTTTTCTTGGCTGGTTGCAACCACAACACTGAAACTTGCCCCCCTTTTTAAATTCAGCTCACAGCTGTGGTGAAGCAGCGAGTCTTGAGGACTAATGACACAAACTGTATGCTTTGAGCTAGGAACTTATTTTCTGTTTACAACGGTGACATTCTATTGCATTGAATTGCACTCAAGCTGATTCATACACTTCCACACACTCCCTTTTTCGACGTTATCTAACACGCAGATAATACACAGGCGAGAGCCGCACAGCTGAATGACGAAGTGAATGAAAGCTAAAAAAATAAATAAAAAAAAGCAAATTGCTGATGTCCATCTTTAACAATGCTTTGATTTTACAGAAAAATATTTTTAAAAAAAAAGGTAGTTTCCTCAGTTTATCATAAAATGAGCCATCTGTTTTACTGAAATTCAAAATAAATTGTGAAGTTAACTTAAAATCGAAGTCATGATGTGGTTGTGGTTTGAGCACCACATGAGAGAAAACTACACTATGAATAGGTGATGTGTGCCAAGCTGCCAACTATTGGCTGCACCAGTTCATTTGGTAAACAGGAAATAGCCTGCATTTTTGTTTACCTTGCTTCTCATGGGATCAAGATTTAGTGAATATTCATTTATTCAGTATTTTACACTTTAAATTTTACACAAAAACATACATTTCAGAGATTTACATCTTTCACTTCTCAGAACAAAATTCTATTAATTTTAAACATAAGTGAAGAATGGGAAATGAAACAACAGATTTCTTCACAATTTAAAGTGGACAGGCAGAACTTTTTGCCGTTGTGTTGCATTTTCACGTTTTAGGAGACTTTTCAGTGAAACACGTATGGAAATATGACACAGTAACAAACTGTTGTATGCACATTTTTATTCTCCATATAGTAGAAACACAGCTGCATTTAGAGTAGATGTATAAGATAGTGTTTGCTTTTCTATACACTTTGATGGTCTGTACTTTGAGCCACGTATAGGTGTACAAACCATTGCAGTTTTTATTCTGAATGAAAGAATGTGCTACACTAAAAATGCCACAACGTTTTTCAGTTTTATAAACGTACCATTGATTCAGCTGGTTAAAATGGAGAAGTGATGGACTGAAATGGCACCAAAGCACCGTGTACAAAGTCAAGTTTTAGTGGAAATTGTCATTCATGACTTATTGCTCTGAGAAGACGCCTGAAGCAGCTGTTTCTGAACTGATGGCACTTATTCGGAGTACAACTTATTACCGTAGGTTTAAATCTGCCTAAAGCTAGATGTTCAGATCTCTTTAGAAGTAACCTTCATATTGCTGAGCAGTGGTGATTTTAGCCTCTTTTTGTGGGTGCTCAAGCACTGCTAAATTTTAACTTGACACCCCTGAAAAAGTAAAAAACCATCATTACATATTTTGTAAAGAAATTTAGTTTTTAAACTTTACATTCACCAAAATATTGAATACATATGCAGTAAATGTTAAATGGGCCAGTAAAATCAGATAAAAAAAAAAATATATATTATTATTATTTTTTGCACGAGTCTGATCCTCAACACCATCTGTCAGTCAATCCATGTCTGTATTGTGCACCGCAATATAGTTTGTGGGGGTGGGGGCGTTAGGATGCATGAGAGAAGCTGAGCATGCTCTATTCACACAAGGAGAGCTGTTGGTCAGGCTACTTCTTGTTGTGCAATGCTCTCTAAACTACTTACTGAATCAAGTGTTTACAATGCAGGAAATAGCATCTACTTTATTCAAAAATTTCTGGGGGTGGATCCCCAGATCCCCCCTCCCCCCAACATTACAAATGCTTTGGACACCAATGGCTGTTGTTCAAGCCAAAAGCCATTGTCAGCACTTGGAGCTAAGCACCCCTAGAGGTCAGGTTCTAGAATCATCCCTGTTGCTGATTAGATACTTTTTGTTATTCATGACACAACCTGTTATATTCATTCAACCTTTATTTAGACGGGTTAATCCCATTGAGCCTCGGGGACTCATTTACAAGAGACCTGAATGTAGTTTATAGTAATGTATGTAGTTTGCCCAGAAATGTTCCTAATTAGTCCTGAATTGTACTACTGAAAAAAAAAAAGCATTTTATGCTTAACTGTGCTGCCACTGGTCACTAGAGACTCCAAATATGGTTTGGTGTACAGTGTTGTTATTTAATAACCAGTAAAATGTTTTAGTTTGGACTAAAATTGTGTATACCACTTCTGGTTTCTGTGTTATAGAAAACTTAATGTCATCCTTTATAAAGTCTGAGCTGCATTTGTTTTTAAACTGTTTTAATCGTTGTGTAAGTCTCCATGTAACATATATATATTTTTGTTTTCTAGGAGTTCTGTATTCAATGTTCAAGGAGTACGTTATAAATCCCCATGAACAGCAGAAAGGAGGAGAACACAAGTAAACATGGACTCTTGCAACAAATCATCTGTGTCCTTTAAAACTCATATTTAGGTGCGCAATTAGAATAATTAATAAATTATAAAACAACTTATGGAACGTCCTTCTTTAAATTGGTGCACCAGTGGTCACACGACTTTAGTAAGATTTATTTAGTGCTTAATTTGACACTTTTGGGTTGGGTGTTGGTTTGGAAGATGTTAATGGCGTGCGAGTGATGATATTTTATTTTTTTAAGGAAGTATTGCAGATAAGTGTTTATACATATGAGAAGGCTAAGTCTGACTTCAGCACAAACAGCAGATTGTCTGACATTTATATTTATCTGTCACACTTCTATTTTCTATTACCAGTTATATAATATTATCTAATAACTGGGATTCATTTTAATTTTTTTGCCAAATCAAAACATTTGCATCTCAGTAAATGAACACTGTAAAAAAAAATTGGCTTTCAGGTTTATACAAAGATCTCGTAATATTTAAACAAAGACGACTCTGATGGTTTTTGACTCTTTGCAGTTTATAGCAAATTAAATATATATTTATTATAAAGTCACCACATGGACACAGGGGGACAAAAACACGATGGAACATTTCTTGTTAAAAACCAATTTGTTGTTAAAGGATTTTATTCACTTGTGTTACTGTAATGTCTTGTAATAAAGTTGTAATTTTTCAGTACAGTATTTATCTTTTGTTTTCAAATATTCATGACAACAGTAAACTGTGGTACACCTTTGTAAACTGTAGTAACTTGGCAAATGCAGTAAAACTAGTTTTTTGTGATATTAAAGTATTTTCCAAGTTATTTACAAAGCTGATTTTTACTGTTGTGTGTGAATACTGAACATATTGTGAGTTAAACCGTATTTTTTTTTTTTTGTTACTCTGAAATTCTGTTGTATGTAGAATCTCTGTAATGTGCTTTAACTGTCAGTTTTTCTTAGTTTTTGCAGAATAAGTCCAGTCCTGGCAGCTAGACTAACAGTTCAGGTTTCTGTTTATTGTACTGTCAGTGAATAGCTCTATTATAGAACTACTACAGTTTTGTTCATGTCACTTTCTTATCCATCAAATAAAACGCTGTCACCAACTCTCATAAAATGCTTTTTCTTTTAGACTCTTTCTGATGAATATTTTCATTTTATGTGCGAAGTTATTTCATGCTTCTGGAAGATGAGTGTTTATTTGGCAACGTGTAGTGTGCACCTCTTGTTTATCTGGGTAGGCCACTTACAGTATGGCTGACATGTACCGACAATATTTGCAGGATTTGCTAGTCGGCATGACTTTGCAAATTTTCCTCAGTTGTACAGCCAGTTATACAGTCCTATTCTAACTTGTTCAGCTGAGATGGCACGGACCGCTCATATGTGACGTTTTATAAACCATTACTAGTTTTCTTTGACATTTAAATTTAAATTAAGCTGGAACAAAGATCTCCCTGAGTAGCAGGATGATTCACGTGAACTGTGGTTTGTTCACTGCAGGCAGTTTTAGTGTTGGGGATGAATTAAAGCTGATCAAGATGCACACAATGATTTTATTATAGGCAAGTGGTCCAAAAAGTAAATATTCAGTTTATATTTGCGTATATTTCTCAATGTTTCATTTGTTATGCATTTAACTTGTGGACTTCAAAATGTGCTATGGTAAAAACAATATATTATGAAACTGATTTTGTATTATAACCTTTGTGTGAATCTGCTTGCTTTGATTTGCCTGTCACTGCTGCTGGCATGGCTGAATTTCCCCACTGAGGGACAATAAAAGTTAATTCTATTCTAATATGAACAAGCGATAAACCAATGTCCTCGGTCGCTGCAGGATTTGAAAAATGAACGTTTGTAGTTTTTGAGATGAGTGTTTTCCTGGACTGGAGTTGAACAGGTAATGCAAGTAAACCTTTATTCATTCATTCAACCTTTATAAACTTTATAAACTAACTATATTTAATAAAACTTTATAAACTAACTATATTTAAACTAACTATACTTACTAACCTGTATTAACCTGTAGCAAAAATATAAAGTATAAAAGAAACCATACACAACGATCTAAGTTAGATGCTAAATAATAATACTTTGTATAAAATAGTACATTAAACAGCAGCCTGAATGTGAGTTTGTTGTGGGCAGATGAGTATACAGCAGCTTAAAGTCAAGAAATCAGCAGCATGGATCGGCAGCACAGGTGAAAGTCATGTATCACCAATTAAAGTGGCATAGTGATTTTTTTATTTCTTAGTGATTCTTCTGGTTAGGGATTTATGAATCTTAACAGCTTCAGGGTAGAAGCTGTTCCTCAGTCTAGTGGTTCTACACTTTTCATTCAACCTTTTATTTATACAGGTTAGTCCCATTGAGCCTCGAGGACTCATTTACAAGAGAGACGTGGTTTAAAACAAAGAATGATGACAGTAGACAATCATAAAAGAAAGCATATAAATTGAAGAAATAAATGGAAGAAATTTATATTAAAAAAAAATAAACGAAACACACTTAATGCTCCTTAACCTCCTTCCTGAGGGGAGCAGGGCAAAAAGTGTGTGTGCTGGGTGAGTGGGGTACTTCATGATGCCGGTGGCCCTCTTCCTGCATCTAGAGGTGTAGATAGATGTCTGTGATGGTGGGGAGGCTGACTCCATATTGTGGCATAATCTCCAATGTGGCACAACAGATAACCATGTGGGGATGATTTTTGGGATACCCAGTGAAACATTTAGTTGTATTTTGATTCTATAGCCTGTGTGTGAATCCTTTGAAAAGTTCCCGGTGACTGTAAATACTTGTAACTTGTTGATGGCACTTGTGTTTTTAAAGCATTCCAATAACTTGTCAACTGACAGCCAAAGTAGTTTTATAGTTTTCTTCTAGTGACCATCAGGTGTGCAAATAAAAAAAAAATCTAAAATTTTGCCCTCTTGCTGCCATGCAACATCTCTGTGCTGAGACGGATTCTGTGATAGGTGATGATTTGAGAGACTGTTTTCCAACAAGTCGTTGGATTCTTTTAGACATAAGCATCTTCACATACCATCTCTCTGTGTCTTTGGAAGTCCTTGAGAAAGGTTGGTTCTTTAGGGTGAGCACAGAGAATCACCCTGAGGTCAGGAAGTACTGCACAGCTGCTCTTCCATGTATCCAGTTACACCATCCAGAACACGGAAGTCACGTACCTGCTGTTTCTGCCACACCACCGCTCCAGAGCTGTGTGAGCATGACTGTGCAGTTTCTGGAGCACTCCCCATTCTCACTATTATTCAGCCACAATTTGTAATATTTCAATGAAATGTACATGAAGTTTATGATTACATTTCAGTAAACCTTGAATTTATTGTTAAACTGTCAGCATCTTTAAACCATAAAATCCTATTACATTCTTGTCTTTGTGGAAGACGGAGAAATGTAAATGGTAAATGAGCGGTATATAGCACTTTTCTAAATCAAGATACTCAAAGCTCTTTACACTACAATCTGTGTCCTCCTTTACCCATTCATACAGCACTCTATGTCTTTACAAAGAATGATTAGTGCTTTATCACATTCCTACACCCATGGGACACACATGGGAGGCAATGAGAGGTCCAGCGTCTTGCCCAAGGACACTTCAGCATGTGACTGCTGGTGGAATCGAACCCCCAACTATTGTATTGGTGGACGACTGCTCTAACCACTCAGCCACAGCTTCCCATAAATGTACGAAGATGCTAATGGGTTACCCATTAAACAAATACCTCATTTTAAAAACATTACAGTGCTATTTATTTTATTATAGAATGGAAACCAAACTGAGATAGACTGATTTAAAATACATATTAAAAATAGAGCAAAAATAAATTGAGTGTTAATTTAATATAATTAAATGTAAAAGTTACCTATTTGATAAGACTACTAGTGTTCTTGTGTGTTCTTTAACTGTTGATTTGTTTTTAGCTTTGATGGAAATATTTCCCTACATTAAGTATATATTTTTACTTTGACATACTGTAGTATAAGAAAAAAAAAATGCTTACATATTAGCACCCCCTCCTGGTGTTATTAAAGAAAACTCAAAAGTGACTGGTTATCTCGAAACATGCAAACTGCATTGAAATAGTAGCATGATTTTTTTTTATGCAATTTTGTTTGAGCTTTTCAAATACAGTGCACAAACAAATGAATACATAAATAAATAAATTATTAGGTAAGGATGCAAATCTTCACAAGGTCCAGTTTGTCCCCTCGCAATTCACTTGCTCTGTGATAAACCCGAGACAATTAAGAGTTAAACTGTTACTTATGATTCAGTTCAGTTCATTTTTATAGTGCCAACACACACAGAGAGAGCGTCGTTTTACTGCTTTGACTCATCATTTTGAGTTACGTCCATGCAGCTTGGCTAACAGAGAAAAGAAATAAACATAAATGTAAATCCAGGCAGCACCAAAATCAATATAGAAGAATAATGCACTTGTCTTCCTTTCTTTTTCTTTTAGTCTCTGTCACTGAGAGATGAAGGTGAAGAGGTGTTTTCATAATCTACATAATCGGTGTGCTTTGACCTGGGTCAAAATCCAAGCTAAAACAAGTAGAAGAATCTAATCTATAAGTAAACCTAGTGTCAGAAAGAAGTGTCTCATGAAGTTATACAAATCTTAAAACTCCTCACTCTCTAGACATTTAAAATAAATATTTAGAAAGCCTCCTGTATTGAGACGTCATGAATAAATGAAGTTCATTTATTTATTTAAGCCTCTTTTGGATTTACATATCCTAGATGACTAAGAATCTACACCAGCATTTTGACCATGTGTATTTCATATGTGTACATTGGCTTTAAAAAAAACCAAAAGAACCCTAAATAAAATCATGTCAATCAGTCACAAACTCAATCACATTCAACCTTTTTTTATACAGGTTAATCCCATTGAGCCTCGGGGACTCATTTACAAGAGAGACCTGATTTCTTTAACAAAGAGTGATGACAACACGGACAACAACGGCAACAACAGACAGAAAGAGGCATGCAAATTTAAATTTCTTTCTTTTTAAATTAAAAAAATATATATATAAATCAAAATAAAATAGCAACCAAAATAACAGTCAAAAGGAAAAGTAGTGAAAAAACAAACAAACAAAAAAAATAACCCAGCTAGATTATAAGGTGGTGTAGAAAACTAAAAACAGAAACCTGTCTGCATTGCTTTTTGCCATGAACTTAATAGATTCTTAAAGCCACTTAGAGAGGTCAAGGTCAAGAGCTTCAGATCTTCCTGCAAGATATTCCAGGAAACAGGAGCGGAGTAGGAGAAGGCCCTTTTTCCAAGTTCAGTCCTCACTGAGGGAACACTGCAGGTAATAATGTCCTGAGAGCACATGCTGTGGCTGCACTCACGCAGAGACATGTAGGAGGAGATGTATGAAGGCAGCAGACCAAGAAGTGATTTAAATATGAAAATGGACCAGTGGGAGAGTCTATGTCAAGTTAATGACTAGTTAACCAGTGAGTACAGGGTGCAGTGGATACGGCAGTTACAGCCAGTTATGAATCTTAATGCACCATGATAGACAGCATCCAGCATCTGCAGGGTGCTTGTAGGAGCGTTCATATAATGTCACCGTAATCAATGAAGGAAGGAAAGTCACAACTACAAGACGTTTCCTAGCATTCAGAGTTAAACAGGATCTATTTCTGAAAAATAAACCCAATTTAACTTTCAGTTTCCTTACTAGGTTTTCCATGTGAAGCTTAAAAGAAAGATACGAGTCGACCAAGATACCCAAATATTTATAGGAATCGACAAACTCAATAGGGACACCATTTGAGGATAAGATCAAAGGAAGAACTGCTGGGACTGACTTCCTGCTTGAAAAAAAGCTTTATCAGCATTTAGGACAAGTTTGAGAAAGTGCAAGTCTGACTGGATGATGTCAAAGGCGGAATGCAAAAGCTGGAAAGCCTTAGCAACGGTTTTAGCTTGACAATAAACAACTGTGTCATCAGCATAGAAATGTAAGGATGCATCAGGGATGCTCTGGCCTACATTACCTATGCAGATTGTAAAGAGGGTGGGTCGTAAGACTGAGCCTTGTGGTACACCATTGCTGACTGTTAAATAACTTGAGGAAAGACCATTATGTTGAACACATTGCCTCCGATCTGAAAGATGGTTAGAGAACCAACCAATGGTATGATCTGAGAAACCAATTTCTGAGAGCTTATGACACAAGATGTCATCATCCAGTGTCAAAAGCTTTAGACAGGTCTAAGAAAATTGCAGCACAATACTTCTTAGCATCCAATGCTTCAATGTCACTAAAAACCTTCAGTGAAGCAGTGGTTGTGCTGTGTTGTTTCCTGAAACCAGATTGATGGAGAGGTAATATGTTACATGAGTGCTGGTGAAGATTCTCAGTCATCCAGGACGTGATGAATTCAAAAAAACATTCAATACAAAAACAACTGGACTTTATTTGTAACAGAAGACGTTTCAAGTGATGAAGAGCGAAACGTCTTCTGTTACAAATAAAGTCCAGTTGTTTTTGTATTGAACGTTTTTTGAATGTTACATGAGTCCAAATACTTTTTGATTTGAGAGTTTATCAGATTTTCTAGAACCTTGGCTAAAATGCAAAGTTTAGAGATTGGTCGATAGTTAAACATGATTTGATAGGCCTCATAAAGTCATACAGAGGATGAACTTTGACAGTTAAGCAATTATAGTAATTACTTGACTTGGCTAATGTCCTGATATAACAATTGAGACAAAATATAGCTAGACCGTAGACTCCAGATCACATATATATAAAAAACATGAGTATTGTAACTGTTTTTGGCCGTAGTATTCTCTGCCTCCGGTTGTTACCCTGTAGTTTCACAGTGAGAAAAACTCCTGAGCAAGATGGCCGTCGCGGAGACTCATCGGAAATGCTTAAGTGGGCGTGGCACTCTGTTCCCGCGAGACTTTGCGTGAAGTCGCTGGTACGCCGTTACTATGGATACTAGAGTGTTGGAGTTTGGAAGCTACAAGTTTCATTTCAGATCCCGCAAAACGTTGCAGTCGAAGTTCAATTAATTTGTTCACATACTTTTTTAGGACAAAATACGTGAGTTATGTTCTATTTTTGTTTTAAACCCGCGATGATAAAAAAAAATAGGTTCAAAGGACGTTTAAGTCATTTTTAGCATGTCAAATTAGCGTTTTTCTGACTTTATGATGAAGATTGCAAAAATGGTAGAGACTTTTAGTCAGATAAGATGTTTTGAGTAAACTAACACTGTTAAACATTTTATAAATCCTGTATTGCTTATTGAAGATTTTTGTTTTATGCTTTATTTTCCCATTTTCACGTTTGGCTGACACACCATGCATTATTTGGCTTCTTTTTTTTTAACAATGTGTTAATATAAAGTGTGAAATGTACTGTAAGCTGTAAGCACAGTGTACTGTAGTGAAAACAAGAGGTGAAAGAAGTATTACTAATATCTAATGCTATAACAGAATGTTTAATCATGTAGGGGCCTCCATTATAAAGTTTATATTTTACTCTCTGTCTCCATAAATAACAGATTATGGAGCATGATGCAAAATGGAATGACAAGCAGCAGGAAAAAAGAAATCTGGAGAGGAGCAAAGACAAAGAACATGACAAACTGGATGACACTGGCGCCCAGGATGATTTGGATCTCTTTAAGCAAGGTAGTCAAGCAGACGATATCCCTGACAGGTAGGTGAGTCTTACTGTACTTAGGCTGAAACAATAAAAAAATAAATACATTCTTGAATTTAATTAAAAAAATTGTAAAAAAAAAGTTTAAAGGAAATGCATCGTGTTCTTTTGGAAATGTCTTTAGGTTGTTAAAACATGAAAATGAAACACTGCTTGACCAGGTGAGAGCACTAACGGATGAAAATGGCCGACTCTTCAAACTTCTGAGTGAAAAGGATTTCGAGATTAAACACCTGAAAAAGAAAAGAGAAGAAGAAAGACTGGCCTTGGCAGGTATAACGGCTTGTGTACTTTTCAGATCAGTATTGAGGTGCTTCCCTGCAGTTTTTTAAAATATATTTTTTGACTCATTTGTTCAGACACATCAGGCTTTGCAGGAGCTGTCGCTGCCTCCAAGATTGTTGAGCTTTCCAAGAAGAATAGAGAACTGACTGCTGAAATTGAGCGAGAGAAGATTAAGTCCAAGCAAAGCAGCAACAGAGTCAGAGATCTTGAGAAAGAGGTAAAGTACTTTGTGATGTGATTTGTTGGATGGAAGTGCATCAATTCAGGACAGAACTCTCGGAAAGCAACTTTTTTTTTTTTTACATAGCTGCAGGTCTTTTCTCAACCGGGGCATAAGGCTGACTCAAAATCACTGGTTAAGTGTTCAACAGAAGAATGTGAGGTAAATTGAAACTAACCAAATCCATATTGTGTAGTTGTTTTAATGACCTAAATGGTAACTCATCATAAATTACAAATGTTTTAATTCCAAAAAGCAGGAAAGTCCAGTGGTCAAATCTTTGCAGGAAAGACTAGCAGCTGCTCAGCTGAAAGTGGCTGAATATCGTAATCAGATTCAATCCACCAAACAGGAGTTGAAAGTTGCTCAGAAGGTAAAACCTTTTATTTTATTTTATTTTTTTACCTTGCTTTATTATTCCAATTTAAAATGTTTAGTTTTTTTTTTTTTTTTTTTTAGCCTGATGTTTGGTTTGTTCAGGTGGTCAAACAGTGGAGGGAATTAATTTTTGGGTCGGCTGCTTGGCAAGATTTTATGTAGATATTTTTTAATAGTGATGATATAAGCAAACAATTGCTTGAAAAGCAAACAAAACATTTCATACAATTTGTTATAATTGGTTTCATTGGTAGAATTTATGTTATTTTAAGTTCAGGCCTTAAACATGAAAAAAACCAAAAAAAAAACAAGATTCAGCACATTTTGCATTCTAATGATATAAATATGCTTTTTGATGTTAAAACATGATCTGTTGCAGGTAATAATCAGTGAGGTTGGAGAGGAAGTCAACCTCCAGCAGTTACTGAGCTGCCCTGGGAGCTTTAGAGGGCGATCCCAGCAGATACTGGTTCTCCAAACAAGAGTAAGATAAAAATTGACAAGTTACCAACATAATGTGTTTCTTCAAGAAAATGTAACATATAAAATAAAAAAGCTTTTTGAAAAGAAGGCAACGTAGCAGGAAAAGGAATTTATGTCATGTTCAACTAATAATTTGAGTCATCATTCAACAGGTTAAAGATCTTGAGCAGCAGCTCCACCAGACAACTCAGCACAGACAGTCAAGTGTCCTTAATGTGGAGGAAGAGCTTCTGGGCACTGGTGTCCACCAGAAAACTCCTCCCAGAGACAGAAACCTCAGCCACATCCGCACGATTGAGAAAGGGAAGAGAGAGGCGTTTGAGGTGTGTAAGCTATTACCCTACCTGTAGAAAAAATAATTGGTTTATGCAGTGGTCTCTGCTGTCCGTTTACAACTTCGCAGAGGATCTCGGCAGAATACGAAGCGCTGCTGAGAGAACACGAGGACGTGAAGAAAAGGCTGGAGGCCACCAAAGCCAGGAGCAGAACTCAGTCTAATGAAATACAAACGCTGAAGGTCCGGATCGCCACCTTGTCAGAGAAGAAAAAACATGATGCTGAGCTTTTGGATACCATGTTGGTAAGAGATTAGAGAAGATCAATTTTCATATATAAAATTGAGGTAGAGGGTTTAGCGACTTGTAAACTTGTGTAGCTTAAATCAACCCATGCTCAACTGAGATGAGCTACAAAGTGGAAAAAGTAGCATCTTTGACCCCTAACTTCCTATCAACCATTTTTTTTTTTTTTTTTTGTGGTTTGTTTACTTCTGTAGGGGCAACAAAGCCAGATGCAGACTGTTCTGAAAGAACTCAGGCAACAGCAGAAAGAGCACAAACACAAACCGAGGCAACAGCTGAGCTGCGAACCTTCAGAACAGAACAAACTGATCCTGAAGCTGAAGCAGGTGGTTGCTGAAAAAGAGGCCAAAATCAACGAGCTGCAGAAAAGACAGCAACTCTCCAACAAGGTGTTTTTGTGCTGCTTTAATCTAAACATAGATAGAAAATATTGCTGACTCAAAAATCACTCATTTATGCATTAAGTGTGTGTGTTTATGGCTTTGAAGGAGGATTGCATGAGCGGACAAAGCCCCACAGCAGCAAGCTGCAGTTCAAGATTCTCACCAGAAGAGGGAGACAGAAACAAGAGAATCACGTCTTCAGAGTATGTTTTATAGTTAAATAAGGTTAAATGATCACCACTAGTGTCTGTATATGACCAGCTTGATATTTCAATTTCATGAGAAAGTTATTTATAACAAAAAGAGTGATTATTTCACTTGGATCAGTGTAATCAGACTTCGTAAAATGTAATCAAACTACTGGTATTTTTGTTGCATTTTGTTCCACTGTGTTGCTGTCTATTATCTTTTCCAGTTCAGTCTCTAAATATGGTCATAAATTGGTGATGCCTAAAGTGGGGAGTGCTTTAGATAACACGTAAGTAGTCTGTATTTTATATTTTAGCTATCTTTTTTTTTTAAATAATAGTATATAATGTACATCATATTTTATCATTGTAAAATTGTGCACATTTTATTTATAGGAGCCGGAGTTCTTCAAATTGTCCACAATGTTCTGCTGATGTGAGTGCGCTGATGACCCAGAGTAGTGAATATAAAAGCCTCAGTGTGGAAAAGGACAGACTCCTTGAGCTGGTTCAAGTCCTACAGATAAAGTAATAATTAGTGCAGAAAGCTTATGATCTTTTTTTAAATTATTATTATTTTATTTTAATACTCTGCGTTTTTCATTTTATTAATGCTGCTACAGTGACACATGTGCTCTCACATTATTATAAATGTCAGTAATGCCAACTGCAAAAAAACAAAAACATGCTTTCTCTTGTCTGCTGTCTATCAGCTAACACACACTGACCTTTGAAACATCATTCCTCATTATTTCAGTAGATATTCTTGATATCTTTGCACATCGCTGCAATAAAAACAATATTTTTTTTCATTGTACCTCAACACCAAAAAAAATCACTTATGTGACATTTACACTTTAAGCTTATGGACACTTGAGTTAATCTATGCATTCATGCATATATGCATATTATTTGTCATTTAGACTCAAATCTATGGTTTAATACAAAGCAGTTACAGAAAATATACACAATACTTATTTGTCTCTTTAGGTGCTTAAGCTCATGTGTGTCTGAAGGAGACTAATTTATCTGTCTATGATCTAATTTGTTTGGATTTTCTAGGGAAAAAGAGGTGAACCAGAAATGTTTGGAGGTGCAGAAAAAGTATCAAGAGGAGTGCTACAGGACCATGATTCTGGAGCAGGAGTTGGAGAGGATGAAAGTGGATTGACTCATTCAGCACAGTTAGGACTTATACCAAACCTCTGACTGCATGGCGCAATGATGTGAAGGATTTTTATTTCCTGTGTTTAATGCTTAAACATTGTCCTCTGTCAAACTTTCATATCTGTGCACGGGGACAGAAGTCCCAAAGCAACAAGAAGTGTCCATAAACAAACTGAACAAAATCTCCAACATTGGCTTATTTTAAATTTTGACAACATTGCAGATGTCTTAAGCTGGTTCTGAAATCAAACGTGATGTTTTTTTTTTTTTTTCTGGTATAAAATTCGAACCAGATAACAGAAATAACGATGTGTATCAGGGGACTTGCTGCTGAAGGACAGAGTTCACGTCTGTTACAGTGTTGTTTCTGTTGCTCCTCTATGTCGTCCTCTGGCTGGTCGTTCAGGAAGCACAAGCTCTGCAGGGCATCCTGAAAGAGCGCTCTCCACCCTGACCTGCAACGTTACGTTGACGTGATGAGACAAGTGGAGCACGTTTTCCTTGGAGGCTCAGTGACAGTACCAACGAGACACTATAACCAAGGGAACAGGCGTCTCTGCTCAGGCTCACCGCTGAGTCCTACCTTCTCCTGTCACATGTGTCAAACAGCAGCCTGCAGGGAGAAGAGTTCCCCGCCTCAGTCCTACAGAAACGGTGATATCTCACCTGCTCTTCAGCTCATAATGATTTGTTTTTTTGTGTGAGGCCTGCTGAACTTGAGGACTGAAGTACCTCGAGTAGCAAAGCTTTCATCTTCACCCTGATGGCAGCATACACAAGGTGATCTGAGAAACTGCTGGCATTAATAAGACCTCTTGTGGTTTCACATTTTGTATGCTTGTTGTTTCATATTGTCACATCTTATCAAGCGAATGCTAAAATTTTCCTCTGCGGGTGACTTCAGGTGCATTTTTTACTCATACTGACGCCAATCATTTCTGCTTTTTATGTAAATGTTTTCAACCAACAAACAAACATCCAATTCAATGAGCTAAAATTGATCCACATTTTCAACAGATGATCTGACAACTCTGCTTTCCTTATTATGACTGACATTTTCCTCAAATAGAACCTGTTTTGTCGCCCGCTGCTGAAAGCGAAAGGCTAGATTGTGTTTGTCTGCAGTGTTAACAAAAATAGTCACGATTAAGTGAATTAATTTTAATGAAACCTGCAGAACATAATCATTGCACATCTACAAATAAATAACTTTTCGAGTCCACCATATTCAAGATGGCCTCCATAGCAAAGCAAATGAGCAAACAGAAATAGCTCTAACTCAGCCATTTTTATAATTACTGAGCTGTAATAAGGTGTGATAGTAGCTGAAGGTCATTCACAGCACATATTCAGAGCGCTAACAAATCAAGCTAGCATTAACTATTGGAGCCAGCTTTGTTAGTAAAGTATTTAACAAGTCACTGGATAGATTTTACTACAGTTTGAACAACTAAACTTTTGGATACAATCATTTGACCTAAGAAAACACAAAAATGTATAAAACTTCACACATTTTATAGATGTTGACCTAAAATTTGGTCCGGTAGTAGCTGAGAGTGATTCAAAACACGTACTCTGAGTGCTGCCACATCTTGTGGGATCAAAGTTCATGCTCAGTAATCCAGGTAAAAAAAAAAAAATCCAACAAAGTTCAGTCAGGTCATCTGGACTGATTTTTTTTTTTAATAGATGTTTGGACTTCATCAGTCCGAGGAGCCACAACAAACTCAGTCCCACAAGCAGCGCACTCACATAGTGGGCCAACCTGTTTACTGGTGATAAAATGGTTTCTGGAGCCCGCCCTCTCCCCCGTCGACTCCTCTGAGGCAGCCATAGCCAAAGTGGTCCAAAACATCAAAGTTCATGCTCAATAATCCAGGTATAAAATCCAACAAAGTCCAGTCAGGTCATCCGGACTGATTTTTTTTTTTGACGTTTCGTCTTTCATCCAAAGGACTTCATCAGGCTACTTCAGAGGACTCGACGGGCAGAGGGCGGACCCCAGAAACCATCTTATCACTAGCAAACTGGTTGGCCCACTATGTGAGTGTGCTGCTTGTAGGTCACAGTTTGTTGTAGCTCCTTGGACTAATGAAGTCCTTTCGACGAAGAATAAAATGTCAACAAAAAGAAAATAAACCATCCAGATGAACTGACAGAACTTTGTTGGATTTTTTTACCTGGATTATTGAGCATGAACTTTGATGTTTTGGACCACTTTGGCTATGGCTGCCTCAGAGGAGTCGACGGGGGAGAAGGAGGTCCCTATAAACCAAATTATCACCAGCAAAGTGGTTGGCCCACTATGTGAGTATGCTGCTCGTGGGACTGAATTTGTTGTGGCTCCTCGGACTGATGAAGTCCTTTGGATGATTGATGACATTTCTCAAAAAGAAAAAAAGAAATCATCCAGATGACCTGACTGCACTTTGTTAGATCTTGTGGGATCTCACAATCTCACATGAAATAACATTATTTGCAAGTTTTGACCAAAACATCTAAAACCCCTTCCTTTAAGGAATTCATCTTCAACTTCAAGTTATTTTTGCTTCAATATAACGTCTTTTAGGACAGTTTCAGTTACAGTCAGCTCTGTTAGTTCCCTAAAAGCTCAACATAATTGCAAAACATTAGCACTAATTAGTTCTGACCTGTGTGGGAGTAGTGGCTGAAAATGACTTGGAACTCGAGCAACACAAACTTTGACTGTAGTCCTTCCATTCCCCAGAGTGGGGCACGCATGCACAGAGTGTGATCTTAGACCCTCAGGTCCAAAGACTGTCTGGACATGGCTGATGGGAGTGGTCCATACATTCATACAAACATCAGAGTTATTTTCTTCCAGTGTAGCCTAAAGGGTTTCAGCCGAACCCCCACCCTCCTCCTCTTCTGCGCCTCCCTCTCCCCATCACGCTTAATTTAAAACCATAGCTGACTTAGTGTGCTGATTCAAATACCGCACTATGTCTTCCAGCACCCTGTGGGAGATTGGCAGGTCCCCTTTGGACTTGGTGAGAAAGCGCCACAAGACAAAAATATCAGTTTGGACATGATGAAGAAAGCCTTTATGCTCAGAGGAACAAAAATCATCTTGTGTTGGGCAACTCCTGGATAGAAGGCGAGGCAACATTTTACGTGACAGTTCGGTGCGTACTATCATTAGAGGACGTGATGAGGAACCCTAAGGGCTGAGGGACATTTATCACATGTGCATCAGGAAAGTGTTGATGAAGCAGAAGCTGTTCTAGCTCCTTAATTCCATCTGATTCTGGGGAAAATTTAAACTTATTCCATTTTTTCCCCCCCAGATCTTCAGCACATCTTTTGATTAAGCATTTGTGTGCATGTTTAGTCCATTTTGTTTATATCACAGTTACAAGCCCAGTACTGCCAAACTTTCAAAATAAAACTTTCCACTGTCAACTGAGGATACTGTATGTTCAGTTCAACTAATTTCACAGCTTAATACGACTGCTCTTGTTGACTTCAGTTATTTAAGAGTGTCATCACCTTCAAATAAATCACACTTCACCATACAGTTTTGTTCTCGTTTTTATTTTTTTTTTAGCTGTATTACGCAGAAAGGTGTAGATTTATTCCAAAATGCCCAATAACCCACCAAACCAAACACCAACTTGTGTAAACACAGCATACGTAAACAGCCTCAGCTATTTGTCATTCCAGGTTTGAATGACTCCTTTCTCCATCGTTCTCCTCAGAGGTATTCCCTCGTTCTGGACCGATGCTTCCTGCAGACCATTGACTGCGTCCAGGAACTAAAGTAAACAGTGGAGCGGTGAACGCAGAGGTTAAAGTTAGCAATCAGGGGATCTGTGAACTTTGCACAGGCCAGAAAACTGTTTGTGCCTCTATAAGTTTATTAATCTCCCAATGCTTCTCATTTACATCAAATGGAAAGAAAATAAACAGCACAGCCCTAATGTGCTTATTTACAGGAAGTAGAAATACAGACTTATCTTTACTAACAAATATAGTGAGCATTCCTGTTCTTGGTTTGCGGGAGGAAAATTGAGTAATTGAAGAAAACTGATGTATATATGTGGAAAACACGCAAACTTCACTCATAAATGCAAAACGAACTTGAGATCCTCATTGTGAGGAAATAGCTCTAACTAGAGAAATTGCATTTCCTGCAAAATAAGCTACCGGAAGGAAGCAAAACGAGCTGAAATGAGCTAAAAAATGTGGAATTAGCAGAAAAGGCTAAAATTAGTATGAAAACAGCCAAATAGTAAAAAATAGTGAAATAGCAGAAAACTCTGAAATTAAGAGAAAAAAAGCTGAAAAGAGTATAACATGCTGAAATTAGCAGAAATAAGTTAATTAGGCTGAAAAGAGCAGAAATTACTATGAAAAACTTAAATTTATCTGATAACAGCTGAAATTAGCTAAAACATGCTAACAAGGCAGCTGAAAGGGTAGAACAAGCTTAAATTACCAGAAGAAGGAAAAAAGAAAACCTTTGCTCAGTTAGGCTAAAATAATCAGAAATGAGCACAAAAATGTGGAAATAATCTGAAAAAAGCAGAAATTGGCCAAAACAGCTAAAAGCAGAAAAAAAGAAGTCAGAAAGAAGCTTAAATTAACAGGATGTAGAGAGAGCACATTTTCCCTGAATTAAGCTGAAAAAAGTTGAAATGGGTGCAAAAAATGAAGAATTAGCTTAAATTAAATTTGCACAAGGAACCAGAACCAGAACAAAGTGTGAAAGGAGCAGTAAAAGGTTGTAAACAGATCTAAAGATCTGAAGGATGTAGAATGAGCTCAGCTCTTTTTCTATGAGAACAAAGTGACAGAAAAGGCTAAATATTTCATAAAGCTAAAGTTGCACCAATATCAAAAGTCAGCAGGATTGTCCTGAAAGAGGTGAACATTTTGATTTATGATTTGTTGAAATAGCCTGAAAACCGCGGGGTGAGAATCACGTCGAAAAATGTACAAAAGAAAACTGGATCACAATAGTTCACACAACTGTGGGTTTAT